CCCCTCCCGTCCTACAGGTTTGTCTCAAAATTTCATCAAAAGTGTTTGTTTTCTCTGCGCTTCCAACAGTAGAGAGGAAGAAACATCTGGGTGCCCCGTCGATTCATGTACGGTAGCTTTCTCGTAACTCACAACTTAATCTATGGTATCAAGTTTGTAAATGTAGCAACAGTAGAAGTCTTTAATTCTTCTTATGACAAAAAGCTTCATATTTTATATGTTAAAAGTGAAACGTTAAAACGTGGTAAAAAAGTAAAAGAAAACAGTAAAATCACAAGTTACTTAGTTTAGTATTTTTCTAGTTTACCTCTCCGTCGTAAAATGTTCAAACGGTCACAATCGTTACTTTAATACCGTTACAAAAATTTGCGGTAACATATCATTTTTCTACCTGCAATGCGTAAATTTGTCTCTGCTATCAGTGAATACTGCCAAGAACACGTGGTGAGTTAATTCGAGCGAGGTACTTGAATGAGACGGAAGTTCGTTTTCCAACTTGAGCATTTGATACAGTTTTAGTAGGAGACGACATTGAAACATGAAAACGGATGGCCTCATTCAGAAAATCTGTTCTCGACACCGGAAAAGAAAAGTAAAGCAGGTCTGATCCGTACCCGGGCGATTTCGTGTTTCCAGTTTGGTCTGTGTATACAGATCAGGTAACTGTGAAATGAAGTTCCGCTGCGTTTCTTCAAATGTTTCAAGGACAATTATCCGGTCTTCATTCGGGAGAGATTCAAAATGATTCAAAAGAAAGACAGATAAACTTATAGAAGAAATGACAAGTTGTTTAGGATATAGAACTGTCGGAAACTTAAAGGGTAATCGGAACTAAAAATTTATAATTCTATCCAGGAAGTCAAAGTACTTAAGTGTTTCCCTAACCTCGTTCTCAGTAGCTTCTTTCTCAGCCGCGTGACTTGTAATTTAATTTTAAATTTTTCACCACCAGCCTTGTTTTCCAGCCTTTCATCTTCAGTTCTGACGATATCGTGAAAACAGTGAAAGGAAAACTTGTAAAATAGGAAAATTCAAAATACTCCTGGGCTTCTTTATTAGTGACGTTGACCTGAAAAATAGACAACTTTTGCAGTGGCGGTCGAAAAACTCATTCGAAATTATTTAAGTTGCTCTGTGTTATGTTCGTTGTCCATTCGACCCATATCATCGAGGAGGAGATAAAACACTCAGATTTATTTGTTAACTTCATTTCGTTTCACGGTTTGCGGTAAAAACATGTGTATGATCA